CCCATTATATCAAAAATCCTCCATCCCCACCAGTGCTCTAAAATCATCTACTTTATTTCTTATACTTCTAGCATTACAAGAGTAACAATTAAGCCTACCCTTATAACTACTTCTGTACTCATTTCCTATGCTTACCTTTTCTCTGCCTCTTATTCTCTTTGCATTTAGTTTTTCCTGGCCTTCCCCATTGCCTAGTCCAAGTTTAAAACTTCCCTTACATCTGAGTTAATAGCCTTAGCAAACAAGCCAGCCCCTACCCTATTTAAATGTAAACCATTCATTCCAAAAAGCTCCCTTCCTCCACTGAACTGATCCCACAAGTCCAACCAGACAATCTGCTCATCCTTACTAACCTAACCCTAGCATTTAGCCCTAGTGACCTATTTATAACTTCATCCCCATAGTTAATTCTGGGCTGTATCCTTGACAAAATTAAGTTATGGCCTTTTTCTTTAAATGCCTTTATCAACCCCTTGTATTTATCAATTAGCTCCTCTGACCTACCTTTCCCTATTTCATTAGCCCCTACATGCACCACAAAAACTGTTAGCTCCCCTTTATTATATATCATGCTCTGTCAGTTATATCCTCCACCTGTGCCCCTGGGTAGCATAATCTGATTCTTTTCTCCCTATTTACCCTACAGACTATTTTATCCATTCCCAGACTTAGCACACACATTTTTCACACTTTGTTGCTCGCTAGACAACAACATTTGCCATCAACATAGCTGGATTGATGAAAGCTAAGAAATTTTAAAGCTGCATTTCTCAGCTGATCATTTATATGAAATTTGGTTTCCAATGTGGGAAAATATGGTTCACATCAAACTAATACCATCACAAACACAAAAGAAAAAGAGTAAAACAATATACACATGTGGATAACTTTAGAAAGAAAATATACATTAAAATAATTAAAATGTTTGGTATAAACTGGACAGCATTAGAAAGAAAAGACACATTAAAATAGTTAAAATTTTTGGTATAAACTGGACAGCTTTAGAAAGAAAAGATACATTAAAATAGTTAAAATGCTTGGTATCAACTGGATAGCTTTAGAAAGAAAATATACATTAAAATAATTAAAATGCTTGATAAAAACTGGACAGCTTTAGAAAGAAAATATACTGTTACTTCTCCATTTGTTAATTGATTTTCTGTAACTTCATTTCGACGAAACTTTAGCGACACAAGTCCTTACTTAATAAAACTGGTTTATTCTTTCTGAATATAACTTCACGATACACTTGATTTCAACATTCGCGCTAAAACAAACGCTATAACGAACGTTAACTTCAACAATACTTTCTCACTGCAGATCAATTACTCACTACCTACACACATTATTGTCCCGTCACGTTGTCACCCTCTTATATATACCAGACTACCCTATATCTAGTAATCTCCCGACAATTCCCGAAGGTTCGAGAGAACGAGTCACGTGACCTCGCTGACGCAACAAACTGGTAGCATGGGTTTAAGGAATTAAATATAAAAAGATTAGTGACAGAAAGCCATTCTTCCCAGTGAGGCTACCTCTCACCAATAAAAACATCAATACCAAATTAAATAAATTCTTCATCATCTGGTGCAAGTTTAAAGAATCCAAAGTATAAAGTGTGAAAAAAACCTGCACAAGTTATTTGACAAGATGATAACAAACCAAAATAAATGAATTGAAGTAAAAGCCTTTTTCAGTGGCTACTGAAGTTTAGAATTATCTCTCCATATATTTAAAGTTAAATTCATATTTTATTTATTTTAATTTTATCACTCAAACAGACCACTCTTATGAAGATTGTCCAAACCATTTTTAATCTTTAATGTCTGAGTCAATTGATATTGTGTTTTGTGTACACTTCAGAAAAAAAGTCCAAAACTTTAGGTTTCTTCTCATTGTTCATATTTTATTTTTGAGGGATAACATGAAGTTGTTTGGCCCACCTAGGCTATTCCAGCATTACCAGCCTACTTAAGTTTCATTTGTAGCTGTCCTCTCCAGTTTCCAACATGTTGATATTGAAAATGAGGCCTCACTAAATTGAAATTATAAAAGAGGTTATTTCTTTATTTAAATTTCATAGAGCATCACATCCAACCTTAAAGAATAATATTATAACGTACAACAGTGATATTAAAATGCCTTTTGTATTATTATTAAAATACTAAATTCATTTATTTTTTCAGATCTGCACTGACAAACACTATTGTTTGAGTATAGAATATATACATATATTAATATGTTTTTCATAAAAAATTAAAATCTGTCATTTCAGAAATATAGAACAACAAGTGAAAGTGTCAGTGCAGATAACCAATATAAATAAAAGAAAGGTAGAGCATGAAGTTTATGTTAGACCCACCAATAATTTTGGTGCTATATTTACATCTCTGAGCTAGGCTTAACAGTAACACTGGAATTAGCACCTTTCTAATTCAACACTTGAATTTGATGGGAAACATTACCTCTATGTCCATAAACTGTAACAAATAGGACAGCTACAATGGTCCAGGAGGCCCCTTGTTGTCCTTCAAATGTTATATGTTAAAAAGGTAGGAAGACTATCTATAGAGGGATTAGACAAGCCATACTTTAGATATGACAGTTCTTGCACAAGAATTTATTTTTTGACACTCCATAAAACTACTTAAAAAATAAGTGAATAACAGAAACACTATTTGGCCATTTGAAGTCATCCATTTACTACCCATCCCATTTCAAAGAAAAAGTGTAATAATTTCTTACAAGTAGTATAAGATTTGTTTTTTTAAGGAAAATTGCTTTACATGAAAGTTTTAAGCTTTTATGGTGGTTTACCCAATGATTTAGCTTGCTTTGTCTTGTTTTTGTTAAGTCATTTATGAGATACAAGTATGAATGTGAAAAGCAATATTGAGCTTGTTTTTGTGATAATAGTAGCAATCCTTAAAGTGAAAAAAGTGACCTATGTGAGTTGATTGGCCTTCTATTATCTTGAATGCTCTTATAATCATATATTATCTCAACCAAATTATTTTGCTCCTTCTTAACTCTGGTTTTCTTCTTAAACCAGTTGAAAATTCCTTCCAAATACTCGTATGTTAAATGATCTAACACATATCAATAATGAAATGTTCATTAAATCTGAGACTCTCTTTGTGAGTTTATCCAGTTAAAAGAATGCCCCTCAGCAGCACTGCTGCCTACGGTATTACTATTAGTAACATCAGCTAATTTGGACTTTATTAATAAACAATATTTTCCTATCATAATTAATCTGTTAACTTTTTTCAAGGATGTTACATGTTAACTGGATGATGGAAAGAGTGTGGACTTGGTGTACATAGATTTTTTTTAATATTTTAAAAAGTATCACACAAATGATTAACTAAGAATGGTTGGGAAAGACTAGTAAGTTGTACTAATAAAATAATTGTTACTAGTTTAGTGCCTCTGTGGTCAATGCTTGTACTTTTGCTATTTCTTATTTACATTAATAATATTGATAGGGACATTATAAGTAAAGTTTGTGGATGAAATTAAATTCTTGGATATTTCTAGCTGTATGGAGGATGTTGAAGTTTTACAGAATGACTTGAATCATTTGTTTAGTTGGACAAGTATTTTGCAGAGGACTTTTAATTATAGTAGTTTGGATTACATGTTTAATATAGATGGGAACCCTACTTAATAGCACAACTGAAGAAAAGGATTTTGGCATAGTGTTAGGTAAGTTACTCGAGCCATTGTGGCTGTGCTTTGTTGCATGTAGCAGAGCATATAGAATTTTATGATGTATTTATAACCATTATAATTACAAGTCAAAAGAGGTAATTATTTCTGTACACATCACAAACTAGGCCTCACATGGAGTACTGTGTATGGTTTTCATCTCTCTATTTAAGGAAGGATATTGACTTATTGGAAAAGGTTCTTAAGAGGGTTTACTAGGATGATTCTAAGGATGAAAGGATTATGAGGTAATTAACTATTTTCTCTTGAGGAAAAAAAGGTAAAGATGATCTTATTGAAGTTTACATTTTGAAGGATAATGGTCTCTGATTTATTTGTGATATACTTTGAAAACAATATGAAGAGAGGACACAAGGTTAATATTTGGAAAAGACAAGTTACGCTCCAGCTAAGATTGTTTTATTTTTCTAACAGGGTGATTGGCTTATGGAATGAGTTGCTATTGGCAGTATTGGAAATTGGCACTTTATATGAGTTTAAAAGGGGGGAATTGATAATTTCTTGAAAAACAAAAGGTAGATTAAAGATTATATATTTTCCAAAGGACTGAAAGGTTCTTTGTTGTCCTTAGGTTATGTCATTAATGTAAAAAGTTGAATAATAAAGGTCTAAAGACATCTTATTCTTATACTCAGTCATTCAGAAAATTATAGTTTGCTTCCAAAAAACAATTTATTATTCAGTATTAAATATTTCCACTTGTACATTGAAAGCGTAAATTATGAATAGCCTTTTGAAAGTTAAATAACATCCATTAAGGGTATCTCTAATCCAAAAAAGCAGAGCACTACCAAAAGTGTTAGTAAATCCTTTCTGAAGTAATGTAACATATTACTGATTAATTTCCATTGTGTGCTATTATAATATAGATACTGTATGTATATTATGTCAGAAGTTTAATTTTCCAGATGATGTCATTCTGAACAAGTGACAGAGTCAATAGCTAAATTCCAAGTTAGCAGGATTTGACGTGTTGAAAATGAGTAATAACACCCCAATGCTGCATGGCTTAAACCTTCATCATAGTTCGGAAAATGGACATAGTTCTGACTCTTCAAGTTCTCAGACCTCTTCAAGTTATGTTAAAATTGGAATGGAAGGCATGGAGGCTTATACCAGCAGTGAAGATGGTACAAGTGGTATGACAACTCCACAAAATACATTGGTGGAACTTACCCTCTCTAGAAATCTAGATGATTTCAACTTTGTTTCCCCAAATTCCAGCACAACAGGTATGTTACTTACTTATAATGACTAGGTATTAAATAGTTTTTTATTGCAGTATACTAAAGAATGAAGTAAGAGTCTGAGAAGCCATTCTTTCTTCACCTACCAGTATGTAAGAAACATTTAATGTACCTCTCACATTAATATACATACAACTACTCAACAAAATTTTAAATAACTCAAACTCAATATACACACCACTTCACCAAGCAACTATTTGACACTCTTAAAATTACCTGAAAAGTGATTATGTTAAAGAACAATTTTACATATGGGCTTCCATAGCTTTGACCTGTAATCTATTATATTCAAGTTTGTTTTTCTTTTCCTCACCCAGACATATCCAAAACTCTAAGCCTCTCCTCTTGTCTTAAATTTCTTAAGCCAGAAAACTATTAAGTTTTACAACTGAAAGATTAGTGGAATTTGCTAATCTATTAATCATAAGGTTCATTAATCAGTTACATTCAACTAATCAATTATTCTCACATAAAACTTGAATAATTATAATAATCTAAAATAGTAATAATTGTGAACACTAATTTTGATTAGTTATTATTTTCGCGAATTGTGACACTAATCAATTAAGCTGAAGAACTAGCTTGCTACGTGACGATAAAACATAAGGGATTTGAACTCTGTGAGATAATAATACAGTTGTTGAGATTATGGGTTGTGATAGATTTGTGCCAATGTCAAGATTATTAAATTTTATTGTACCCCGCAATGACTTGGAATAATAAACAATAGATTTTGAAACATTAACTAAATTTTTCAGGAATTTAAGAGAGAAACTGAACAAAATAATGCATGACTTGATTTTAAAATTACTGGAGTAGCACATTCTGCCTTGATTATACATTGAAACAAATTATATGATTTTCTCAAAAAGTATTTTTGTCATTCGTAATATGCATTTTGTATATTACCATAGATTTGATGAATATATCAGGTTCAATTGATAGCAGTGGTCTCAAAGGCTCAACTACAACACGTAAACGAACAAAAAATATGCCAGGAGCTTCATTTCTTGAGCAAAGAGGACTTAGCTGGTTGCTGGAAGAAGAAATTAGTGATAATGATGATGACAAGCCATTATTGTAAGTTTCTTACTGTATCATGATAATATTTATTGAGATTGTTAGCTAAATCTCTCTTCTACCAAATAGATTTTCAGTTTTCAAATAATTCTGGTATTAAATCATCTATTTTGTATTTCATTGTTTTAATTTTAATATTAAATTTACACTTTTAATTGTCAGTAGGGTGAATATGAGATTACCTTTATATATATATATATGTGTGTGTGTGTGTGTGTGTGTGTGTGAAGCTAGGCTGTATTTTAGTCTCTTATGCTAGTATAGAAAAAAATTATATCACCAGAAATATCTTTACTTACATCACATTTTAATTATTTTAATGCATTTTTTTCTAAAGTTGTCCAGTTTATACCAAACATTTTAACTATTTTAATGTATCTTTTCTTTCTAAAGCTGTCCAGTTTATACCAAGCATTTTAATTATTTTAATGAATCTTTTCTTTCTAAAGCTGTCCAGTTTATACCAAGCATTTTAACTATTTTAATGTATATTTTCTTTCTGAAATTGTCCTGTTTATACCAAGCATTTTAACTATTTTAATGTATATTTTCTTTTTAAAGCTGTCCAGTTTATACCAAGCATTTTAATAAATTTAATGTATCTTTTCTTTCTAAAGCTGTCCAGTTTATACCAAGCATTTTAACTATTTTAATGTATATTTTCTTTCTAAAGCTGTCCAGTTTATACCAAGCATTTTAACTATTTTAATGTATATTTTCTTTCTAAAGTTGTCCAGTTTTTATCAAGCATTTTAATTATTTTAATGTTTTTTCTTTCTAAAGCTGTCCAGTTTATACCAAGCATTTTAACTATTTTAATGTAGCATTAAGTGCATAGCTTGCTCTGATTGGAAGTTCATGTTTATTTTAAGTCTTAGTTTGCTTTATGCATTTTCTAAATTGATTTGTCCTTCAAGGTTGAACATTAAAAGTTTAATGACACAACTTAAAATTTTAACCAATCAGTAAGTATTGACACTTTTAAAGCCATAATTTTTTTAGTTCTGCCTGAATTATTTTCATAATTTCCTAATAATTGTCACCATACCTTATAAAACTTCAATTTTCTTAATTTTTGTAATAATAACATGGTTTGGATTAGCTTTCAGCCCAAGAGACATAAATGTTATCAGATGCTGTCACCCTCTGATGTATAAATCGGGCTTTTTGGTTGGATTAAACTAAAAATCAACCTGGTAAATCAGTATAACTAATTAAATGTACTTTTCTTATGTTTTTACTTATAAAGATTAGAATGCATTTTTCCATCAATTGAGTACCCTTGCTGTTAATGATATTTTTGGCCATAATCCCAAAGATATCTTGTGAGGTTCAGCTGGCTTAGTAGATCTAGGTTCATTCTTAATTCATATATTAAGCTAACAATACAAAACAATTTCTATAATAAAAGTATAATAATGAAAAAATAAAGTCAAAAAGTAATGACATTCAATACATCAAATAGTATAACCAACATTACTAGTGAAATTAACAATATACAAATAATACAGTATACCTTGCTTATATAGTATACCTTCATGGAAAAGAATACTGAAAAGTCTACTTTGAAAATGGATAACATCTAAAGGGCAAGTCAAAGAGAATGTCACCATTCTGAGCATTCTTTGAGAAATATTAGGATTAACCTGAATCATGTAAATGTTAATTCCTTGGTGGTAAAAAGACTAAGAGATTAAAATAGATAAAGCATCACAACCACATATCTTCCCAAGGATTTAAACATGGTCAACAATCAGATATGTGCATCTCTCTCTCGTTTATTTTTGATAGGGCAATAGACAATGTGTAGGTACTTAAGAATCAGAGATATTAATGTTAATCCTACTTTTAAAGGAGTATGATAATTACTGCTCTGGAAATTATACACAAGTCAGTCTTATTTCTTTAGGGAAAAATTCTGAGTCTTTTATAAAAAAAAAACTTGCAAAATGAACTAGTAAAAAATGATATCCTATATAATAAAATCAACATAGATTCATTAAAGTGAAATCTTCCCTTACTAATCTGTTAACTTTTTTTGAGGATGTTACTTGTTAGCTGGATCATGAAAAGGGTGTGGCCTTGGTGAACTTAGATTTTCAAAATGCTTCAGATAATGTGCCACAAGGAAGAACAGCAAGAAAAATTACATCACTGGGTTAGAGGAAGGTCTAATAACTTGGCTAGATGGTAGGATAGTTGATGAAAGAAATTTAAAAAAATGAATGGTGTCCAATCAAACTTGACCTTTATTATTAGTGGAGTACCTCATGGAACAGTGTTAAGACATTTTTATTTACATTTGTGATATTAATATGGACATAATTAGTAACGTTTGTAAATGTCACTAAGTTCTTTGGTATCTCTAATTCTATTTTTCTAACAATGATTGGCTTATGGAATTATTTGCCACAGCAGTTCAAAGTACCAGAGTTAATTACTTCCCCAAAAATAAAGGGTGGGTTTAAGTTTTTATTTTTCTCTGGGGGTGAGTATAGTGTGCAGGGGCAGTCCCCAAGATTTGGTCCCTTGGTGTCGGTATATTAAGAGTAACTGGTTCACTGAATAGATTTTTGCACTGTCTCTAATACTCATTACAAAATGTTATACATTAGCAATACTAACTAACTAATAGTAATAATAATATCAACTTCATCCATACTTTCATTGTGTTTGGTAAGTCAAATAAGCCTACGTTTATTTCATAAAATTAATACACACACACACACACATATATATATATATATATATACATACTTGGAATTTAAACATTTAAGCCTGTTATACTATTACCACGCAAAGAACAAACAAAGAAAAAATTGTTAATATTACTTGCATCAACGATGTAATTTTTTACAAACGAAAACCAAAGTTATTCTGCCACTAGTATTGCTATAAATTTAGACGTACAAGATAAGCCTAACATTACATTAGGTCCAAGTTGTTGAGATCGGACTCGGCGGAGACGTTTCATGAAATATCCGAAATACCCTTTTTGGCTTTATATTAACGTGACGGGAATAATGTGTGTGTAGGTAATGAGTAATTGAAATGCAGTCAGAGAGTGTGTAATTGAACTCGAGCACGTGAGACGTTCGTTGAGAATTATAGCGCGACTGTTGAAATTAAGTGTATCGAAGAAGTTGTATTCGGAAAGAATAAACCAGTTTTATTTAAGAAATGACTTGTGTCGCTAAAGTTTCGTCGGAATGAAGTTACGGAAAGTTAATTAACAAACGGAGACGTAACAGTATAATGCCTCCTGGACACAGTGCTCTGAAGTAAGTCCATTCTAAGGATGCAGATGTCAGAATCAAGGCCAGTGATGATTACTTTCTTCTGTGAGTGGTGCTTTCTAGATATGGTCAGAGATTCAACTCTCCATTCACTTATAATTTATCTCCATTAATCAGAGTGAAGTTTGTATCGAATGGCCAGAGCTGTTGTTTTGTTCAGAGTGCATGATATACTGTGAGCCATTCCTGTATCAATCAAGAACTCTATTGCTCGCCCTTTTATCAGGCACATACCAAGACCTATCCAGCTCTGAGAGAGCTGGGCTGATCACCAAACCCTTTAGTGCAAGTTGTCCATTGCACTTATTCACGTTAGTGGCCAAGTCCAAGTTCGGCTCCACAGTTTCCCAGTGCTGCTGCAGTTCACCACTTGGCTCTCCTGCTCCTGTTGAGCTATTGGCCTAAACTGATAGCTTTTTCTATATTGGTGCTATATTACCCATAATCTCGAGATACCACCTGACCTACCGTTGCTGTCTACCTTCTTTCACAACGTGCCAAATATGACCTGTACAGAACAGGTGTGACCTCAATAGAAAGACAAAGAAAGAAAGTCAGCAAAATCGAAATAAACTACTTTCTTGACCGCACGTTATGTGAAAACTGCATATACTAAATATGCCCGATAGATTTAGAGAATACTATATCATAGGAGGCGTAACCTGGGGGCATTGATGGCAATTGTCCCCAACTTTGACCCGGTAGCGAACTGACCCTTTGAATGGGGAATAGAGATTTATGTACAACTATCATAGAAAGTTGCTATTTCAGTTTTGAATTCAATGGTCACGGTTAACATAGCAAATAAGATACCCCCCCCACCACACACACACATACCCAAATTCATATATGTCCCACTGCCTACATATACTAATATAAAAAGGTAGAACATACATTGTATGTTTATATACCATAGGTAGATAGATTAGTATCAAGCTAGACAATAGGTTAGCAGCGATCTGTCCACCGCATGGAATCGAACATCGATTTTACTGATCCACAGGTTGACTCACTTTGAGTGTGACATATGTATGTATCAATAATTATAATTTTTTGTATCACACTGTGTTTGCACTTCGTTTATGAGTTCATATGGTATGCTTTATTTATTTTATTTTTTTACTTTTTTACGCTAAACAGATACAATAAGATTGTATTTACTAAAATTACGAAATTTAATCTGGTCCCGTAAGTGGTAATTGTATTTCGCGATAATAAAAAAATCATTTGCTAAACTAAGATCAAAGCCTGAATAGAATTAGTAGCTCCTTGTACTCTTTAAGGCTGAATCTAACTTTTAATCTGTAAGTTTGTTCGCCCTCTGCTTTCTAGAACTATCCTGTACCTTGGCGAATGCCCTAGCATTTACTAGATAGGGTAGTCTGGTATATATATAAGAGGGTGACAACGTGACGGAATAATAGTGTGTGTAGACAGTGAGTAATTGATCTGCAGTCAGAGAGTATTATTGAGCACGTTCGTTGTTATAGCGTTTGTTTTAGCACGATTGTTGAAATTAAGTGTATCGTAAAGTTATATTCGGAAAGAATAAACCAGTTTTATTAAGTAAGGACTTGTGTCGCTAAAGATTCGTCGGAACGAAGTTGCGGAAAATCAATTAACAAACGGAGATGTAACAACTAGATATAGGTAGTCTGGTATATAAAAGAGGGTGACGAGAATAGTCACGTGATCTCGCTGACG